AAATTTGAGTTTTTAGTGTTAATTGAGTATACTCGTTAGATTAACACGTTAATACGACTGAGTTGGCTAACAAAATGCAAACAGGTCGACTTTTGAAGGTCGACGCCAGCCCCCAGTCACTTGATCGACTTCCCCTTGTTCGACGTTAGTCCCCAGCAGGTCGACTTCTCCTTGGTCAATGAATCCCTGCTGGCCGACGTCCCCGCAAGTCGACCTCCGAAGGTCGATTTTTCCTTTTTTTGTCGACTTCGTGAAGGTCGGCACCATAACATTGTTCCACTACCCCTTCTTACTCGACATTCCGTTAGCCAACTCAGCTGTATTAACGTGTTAATCTAACAAATATACTCAATTAACACTAAAATCCCGAATTTGTGTACTTAAAAAGATCAAATGCAATATAATCTTTCACCTTAACTTCATACAGTGCACTTCAACCTTGTCCCCAGAATTGGGAGTCTTAAACCTTTCACCTTATTTAATAAGCTTCTTCTTCAAGCCATGATTTGCTAAAACAGAACGAACAACAAACACATTTTGCAGCAAAGTGGCAAACCAACAAACCCAGTCAATCTTGACTAGTCATCCAAGCAACGCACTGACGCAGTAGAAGCAAGACACGCCAAAAGCAGTAAAAACGGAAAACATGGGAAGGTCTCCTTAGCCGATTTCCCCTAGCTCGTCTGGCCCTGTTCTATGCTAGAAACCTGCCCTCATCACCAGAAAGTCTTGTTGCAGCAATGGAGAGAGTGAAGAAAAAGCGCTCCGTCCGTTGAGATCCACAGTGATCTTCAGTCCTCTTAACCAATACATACATTGAGAAAGGCAAGTGATTTGCGAGAAAGAGATAATCAGGGAAGAAAGTAAATTATATAACAGGGTGAACATAAAGGCTCGCTAGTCGCTTGGGTAGCGTTATGGTTCAGCTCCATTATTTCAGATCTAGTCATTTTAAGCTCTTTTGTCAAACATGGTTACTTTGAAAATAATTAGTTGAATTTAGAATATTCCAGCCCATCAAATATCCAGTCATTAATAATTTAGCTTGACAAACATAGCCTAAAACTAGTCCATCAAATCTTTGTCATTTTATATCCACACAGATTTGAATCTTCAATATTAGACTTCTTTCATTTATTATCTCGATAGGTAGGGCCATTGAGGGGAGCGATTCAACGAATTATCACAAGTGTTGTGAACATTATTCCTTTTACAGTATGTAACCAATGATATTGACATGCATATATTAGTCTATAGGGACCAGTTCTTGTGAGAAAAGGACTCAAATGAGAGAAATGAGAATTAATCTGAACCATTAGATTATACTACGTATTACTCCGTATGTTAAATTTAATTGAGCATTTGGTGAACCTGAAATTGATAATATGACCAACAATTGGTAACATAAATTGGGACGAAGATAGTATGTTATATGACCAACAATTAGAATTAGCTCATTGCAAAGAGTATAGATAAATAGTAATTCTAACTCCAAATTTATCTCATTTTGTAGGTCCAATTCACCTTCACTTATGATTTACTTAGAACTGGTGTATACTTTAGGATTTCTATTGGACTATTTTCAGTACCAAATCAGATCAGACCAAATCAGACTTGATTTGAACGGATCAAATCACACCAGACTTAAACAAATCTGACCAAACTAGACTTTGACTGTTATACAATACACAGAGACCATACATATATTTATCAGATCAGGCCAGACTAGACTTAAATAGACAAAACTAAACCAGATTAGATAAGCAAATCTCAATCCAAAAGAAGACATCCTCGTAATATCCCCACCAAATAAACAAAGCTAAGTGAAGCCTCATTTTTAAAAAGAGAATGCATAAGGCGAGCACCTCGTCAATCCGTCCAGAAAGTTGCTTAATCCCTCTCTATTAAAATCAAGTCTAACCATTTGCGCATCAACAAAGTATACTTAATCACAAATTTTCCTAAATAAGAGTACAAACGTTTTGAAATTTCAAATAAAACTTTAATGTTTTTATTTCTTAAATCGGAGTAATTCTGCCAAATTTGAAGGAAAAAAATGTCATGTTTAAAGACTAGTAATGTCAAACTTGACAGAAATTTATTCATATTCAGGGAATAGAAAACATGATAGTCATATTTTGAAATTTCAAAACTTTTCGACTCGCGATACGTACTTCATTAAAAACGTCAAACATCGGGTTAGAAACATGTCATTGTGAGATATATTTGTGTTAATGGAACTGACGTGTTTTAATTTGGAGTACTATACTTCTGATGAAACATCTTGAAAAGAATTTACATTAATTAGAGAAGAATTGAAGTAATGTTATAAATTAGCCACAAAGTGTAAAGAATTTATATTAATTTTCCTAAGTTAAGCTTGTGCCCCTAAATATGAGTGAATATATTTTGGAATTTGAAAATAGAATTTCTAAGTTTTTCTTCCAAAAATAAAAGACGTTAGTTATATGATTAAGATTGCTACTGTTAATGACAGTAATAATGTCTTCGATCGATCTTAATCTGGTACTGCAACTATTTTGACAATAATGACACCGAAATGACAATAAATGCTATCATATTATTCATATTTTGAAAAAACGTAACAATAGAGTAAATGCTGACGCAATTACATGTCGAGTGTTGACTGGTTCAAACCCAATTAGCTAAAATCTGATGTGGATTGCTAAAAAAGACAGTTGAATGGTAGAGATTGATGTGGAATCATTTATGCGTTGGTCTTCTAAGAAACGTTATCTTACGGGAGGATCATGCGATTTTTCAACCTTAATTAGTTATGGTGGAAAACTAAAGTCACATTTGTTTTTGTTTTTTATCACATCATTGTACCACTATTTGATATCCCTTTCAGCAAAATATATACTCCGTAATTATTCAAATCAATTTCTTTATTCTACGGAAAAAATCGCCTGTAAAATGGGTTGTTCAGCTAAGTACACCAAATAAATACTTTGTGAGTAATTCTTTGATGTACTAATATAAGGGTAGAAATCAAAATTACAAAGATTAACTAAATATTAAAGTCATAGCAATTCACATGCATATATAAGCTCTTGATATAAAGAAACTCATGGAGCAATAGTTGTGTGGTTTGTTCAGGGGCTGACCGTAGTACAGACCTAGGGGACTACCCCCCACAAGAATTTTTTTAATGTGTATATATATATATATATATATATATATATATATATATATATATATATATATATATATGAAAAATAATTTTCTTCTAAAAAATATTTTGAACCCATCAAAAAATAGTTTCACCCCAAGATGATTTTCCTGGGTCCACCCCTGGGTTTGCTTAATCTCGTATAATTAGTGTACGTACAGTTATTAACGTGCATGCCGCATGTGTGTATATGGGTACGTACACTTTATCATTAGCGCGCACTTTTTATGATATGAGTAATCTTGATTCTCCTATCAAAAAGGCACTAGCTAGCTAAGCTCTTTCAATTATAGATAAGATAGGCATGATTATCTCTCAATTCACGGTCCGTGATAGCTACTATCATAATATGTACACAATGTATACCATTGAACCTCAACCAACCCAATATAATGTAACTTTAATTTGTCGAATACATCGTACTTTCTATATGTATCGTCATAATTCAATTCTTTGGCGTAGTAATAAGGATAGTTCACTTATAAGATTTAGGTCCTTATTACATTCGTTGCTTCTTCTAGTCATTCAAAAATGATTTGGCTAAGACATTTAAATGAAACAGTTAAGTAGCGTGTTAAGATTGAGGCGTGTTTTCTTAGTATTCCCGACCCTTTTCTTTCCCACCTGAACCCCACATTTGATTCCATTAGATATTTAGACCTATCCTAATCAGATGTGTTCGTGGCAGCTATTACTGCCAGGATTAGTTAGGTATAAACACATTCCAACTTAAACTAGATTCGAAGAAAAATCAATGACAAGAATCGAGAGATTCTGATTGTAACAAATGGGCAACTGAATCTGCCCGCGGGTAACTAGACCAGACAATGATTCATAAGTCCTTCAAATTTAGAAACTGAAACATCCATGATATTCATAGAATTTTAGTTTAAAATAACTTAAAATCTCATCATTTTCATTAGTGCAGAATTATGTGGGAGATGTAAGAAACAAGTGACAAGAATGTTCAGCCAAAACAAAGCAATTATTTCCATCTGGAACTTGTACTGTTTATTTAGCATATGCTGCTACAACAACACCTTTCATTCATTTCTTACAATAAAATAAATGGAAAGGACAGAAAACAGAAACAATGCACCTCACAGCTCATAGTTCACACCTACAGACTAACAAAGAAAGATGAGGTAAGGTGGGGGAGGCAATGGAAGAATGCAGCTCTTCACTACTTGAGGACCCCCCAACAAGAATTCTTATCTAAAAGAGGTAATTAACAGGCCCCCCAATATCACCAATGCACCAAACTTCTTCAAATTGAAATGTACAATACATATTGCTGACCCAAACAATAATACTAACAAGCCTGAAGAGGTTGCTGTGTATATACCAGTTGTTGTTCAGCAAAACCCCACAGTCATGATCTTCAGAGTAGCAATGTTTTTGGTTTATCAATAATCAAGGCTTAACTCCTTAGTATCAATACTGGCATTTTCCTCCGCAATCCTGCCCGACCCACGGTTGGTAATTCTGCCAAACGATCCCACTGCTGATAACCCCTTGAAGCTACTACTCCCTCCACACTCACTAATGTTATGGGATCTCTTATTGACCTTCCTCACCTTTGAGTTGGTATCCAGGTGATCAATGGTGTCATCATTGCTATTATCGTTAACCTTTACAATAACGCTCAGTCGTTCAATGCTGCTCCGGCAAAACGGGCAGACGGGCGGGGCAGTTATGGCAGTGGTCGGGTTGGGTTTGTTGTGACAGCAAAGAGAAAGTACGCATTGTGCACACATTTGGTGACCGCAGTCTTGCACCTCAATTGTGCAGAGTTGATCAAAGCATATGCAACATAGACCCGTATCACTGCCCTGCATACGTAAATATCTCCCAGGGTCAGTTTGGTAAAACGATTGTAGAGGACTTTGATTACATTTTTATTACTATAATGTTTCTGAAACTGAATAAAGACTGACTGCAGTGTTATGTCATCACCTATTATTTTACCCCTTCAGTTTTAATAACCTCAAATATATACAATGGTATACACTTAACCCTGGAAACCCCTTTACCCGAACTGGTCCTTAGAGAATGCTAAGTTTATAAGTTGAAGGATTTTCAGGTTTATAAGTCTAACCAACTAAGATTGTCATCTGAAGCGAAGTTTATGAAAATTTTGACTACATCCTCAAGCAGTGTATACTTTATCCACACCAATAAGTGCACACTCATCTGGTCCTATTAATCTGTCTAGCTTATTTAAATAATTAAATTTCATGGACTCCGTAATAAATACTTTATCCACACCAAAGATAACTAGTTTTACCAGAGATACCCTTGTCTATGAAATTCCTACATAATTACTAGACTAGTACATAGGCATGTTATTATTTCTTTAGTTATGTTTCACATTGTTCTCCACTTGATTATATCATAGAAAACAAATTATGCTTCATATATTTCAAAAAATAAGCATATAAAGATGAAAATAACAACTTTTTTAAAGAAGTAGAGAGATAAATAGGATGCAAAGTCCTTGGAATTTCAACAAATTTTCCTGCGTTCTACAAGCATGGTTAACATCACAATTTCTGAAGGTCGTCGTAAAAAAATATCTACTCAGACAGTGGGGGGTTGTTTTACCTCAGAAATATTGTCATCATCAAAGTTGGCTTCAGAATGAGAGGGAGAAGGAAGGATGTAAGAGGTCCCCTTTAATATGATCTTTTCCCTCTCTCTATTAGCATCCATCAGAGCCCTTTCTAACAAAGCTTTTGTATCTTCATTTAGCTCACTGATGAACTTCAGAGGCGAAGGCCAAACTATTGGCTCTGCCGACGAAGGGTTTAGCAATGCTGCACATGCACTGTGGTTATGCCTTAAAGCAACCATATATGGTATTCTCCTGTAAATATTGAGATTTTGGTTAGACCATGAGGAACAATGTGGATATCCAAAGAAATCTTGGAATACACACTCCTGGGCTATGTTTGGAATGCGAAAAAGAGGAAGATGGGAAAGAATGTTGAAGAAACTACTTTCATTTTAATGTTTTATTATACATACGAAAATGCAAAGAAAATCAATTCCCATTAAAACATTTTAAAGTTCTACATTCATTTTTACTCTGTACTTTTTAGTCACTATATAACAGAAATATATCAAAAAGGTTGAACTCGTAACTGAGAGAGAAACATTGAAAACAACCATTTTTTGTGAAATGCCTGAATTCCTTTCTTTCGGAATTGTTATATATTTTTCACTCTATCCTCTTCCCCATTCCTTTTTCAGGTTCCAAACAGAATCCCAGTGAAAAAGATTAAAACAAAAATGAAATTAGTACCCAGAGGCATCTCTTTGGATTCGATCGCCACCCCATGCCAGCAACTCACGAATACAATCAAGAGACCCCCCTCTTGCAGCCAAATGCAGAGGAGTGCTGCCTGGAAAACTGTTATTACACTGACATCTCAGTCTAAACTTACAAACTAAAAAGTATAAACCAAAAACAAAACAAAAAAAGATAGTTTTCAAGGATCACCCATATCCGCCAGTTGATGCACAGACTAAAGCTCCATTGTTCAACAACAAACGAACATTATCAGGTCGCCTTTGGCGAGAAGCCAAGTGCAAAGGTGTTGCTCCCTTGCCATCTCTTACATTTACAAATCTGGCAAACCCCCTACACATTTTGTGATTCGGCCAGAAAGATTAGAGAGTTCTCCATAACAATTAAATCCATAAAGACCAAGACTCCGTTTGGTAGCCAAATCCAGCTTATTCTCAAAATAAGTAGTTTTGACTAATTTATTTGGCTGAAATAGCTGTTAACCAAAGGATTTTCCATTCCGGAAATTCAACCGAATCAACCATTTCAGCCAAAAACAATCACAGACCCTAAAGAGAAGAGAATAAAAAGAAGAACATTAGTCAGCTAGTTGCTAACCAAGAAACAGAAACATGGGATGTGCGAGCGGCGGAGAGAATTGTTTCAAGGCAATCAGAATGGCCATAGTAAGCAGCATAGTGTAAACACGTTCGTCCATGAAGTGAATCGAACTTTAATATCTATTCATCAAATTTCCAAGATCAGCAACACAATAATTTCCTATTTGTACTTCCAAATTAATGGGGATTGGGGTGCTTACATTAGCCCCAGCTTCGATGAGCTTATGGACACAAGTGATCTTTCCATGCATTGCAGCCAGCATCAATGGAGTCTAAACCATACAAAATCAACCAAAACAATGAACACCATCAGCCTTCATTAGGGAGAAATATAAAGAAAATGCACAAAATATCCAACCAAACGAGGATGAAGAAGAAAGCGGGAAACACAGGACCTGCTTGTAGCGATTCAACACATCCGGGTTGATAGATATGTTTAACAGCATATTAACGACCTGACAAAATTAAGATACCCATCCATAAAATGCACATAACAACAGCAATTTCAGTAAATAAAGATTAAAACTTTCAAATAAATTAGAGCTGACCTCGATCTGGCCATTGGCCGCAGCTATATGCAAAGCAGAATGGCGATCATAGACCGTGGTTTGGTGAACCAGGCCCGGTTCTCTTGCCAAAACAGCTTCCACCATCTCCAAGTCGCCACACTGCACGGCAGAGAACAGCCCGTGCTCATCCGTCGCTCTGCAACTCATCCCCTGACCCATTCTTGAAATTAGTCACAGTACGGGGCCGGAAGGGGAGAAAGCACCTCCGCACCACGGTGGTTCGTGGCGGCGGGTATGGGCGGATCAGAGGGTGGTGGCGGAATATGAAAGCGTATGGTCTACATATATATTCAATGTATACAAGTCAGGGCCGTCAGTACAGCTGACTGTATGGAAGTTTGGGGGTCACGCTGCCCGTAATTGGGAAAGATGAGAAAGGGGGCAGCTGACCGTGTCAGAGAGAAGGATGGTGAAACGCGGTCAGAGAAGTGACAGCGGTCAGAAGTCAGATTCCCAAAACAAATAATAAGACGCCGGCGTCGCTCCTACCGTTTGCTGGTGCTGATCGGAGAATTGTCTTGATTTTAACACTGAAATGGGTGTATCTGGGCCGTCGGTATGGGCGATCTTTGTACCATAGCCGCCGGATGACCTAACGCCATTTACGTTTTTTACTATGCAGAATCTGAAGATTGACTAAACTGCAATTAAAGAATTTACCCAAAGACTCCATCTTAGCTTCCACAGTGCTTCAATCAAATCAATTCTCAGACCGATCACTATTCCGAACACAGTAATTTATCGTAATGGTTCACCAATGAGAGTAAAACATGTTCTATGCGGGAGAAATTTTGAGAAGATTCTTCAATCTACTACATCATCTCCCCAATAAGCGGTGGCGGAGAAATTTTACATAAATACAGAGTAAATAAAAAATGGTAAGATATGGAAAAAGTTAAATCAATTTAAAATTTAAATTTTATATATTCCCTCCGGTCCTAAATAAACTTCACACTTTGACTTCACACAAATTAAGGAAATAAATTTAACTTTATTGTAGATTACACGGATTTTGCTCCTCTTCATTAACTGGAATGATCCAGTAGGAGAGAGATAGAGAGATGTGAGGAAATGGTGGGATAGGGAAAAAGAAAAGATTATGTTTAATTACTATTATTAAGGAGAGAGATAGAGTGAAAAAGAAATGGAGAGAAGGAAATGGAGAGGAGTATGACCCAAAGTACACTGTTGTGACACTGTTTGGCACTGTTTGACATTGTTTGGCACTGTTTTGCACTGTTTTGATGTAGATAATTTGCCAAATAAGGAAGGGAGAAGAAGTGTGAAGTTTATTTTGGACCTACCCAAAATGGAAAGTGTGAAGTTTATTTAGGACCGGAGGAAGTAAGATATACGGAGTAATAAATACGGAGTATATAAAGAATACTCCCTCCGGTCCCAAATGAAATTCACACTTTGGACTTCACACAAATTAAGGAAATAAATTTGACTTTACTGTAGAGTACACTGTTATGACACTGTTTAGAACTGTTTGGCACTGTTGTGCACTGTTTTGATGTAGATAATTTGCCAAATAAGGAAGAGAAGAAGTGTAAAATTTATTTTAGACTTACCCCAAAAGGAAAGTGTGAATTTCATTTGGGACCGGAGGGAGTATAAAATAGGGAGTATGTACATAAATAAAAAGAGCGAAAACTAAAAAGGTCAATATAAAAAGGAAAAATGGACATGAATCATCCCAACTATGATCTCCTTGAAATAATTTAAAGTATCAATTATGTCAAAATAATCTCAATTATTGAAAAATCTTTTAAAATACTCCACATACTCATAAATATTACTCGTATAAGTTATTTATGGATAATTATAAGTCACTGGAGTATTTCGAGAAGATTTTTCAACAGTTGTTATTATTTTCAAATAATTGATACTTTGGATTATTTCAAGCAGATCACTAATAGTTGAGATTATTCTTGTCCATTTTTCCATATAAAAACTCTAAAGGAAAATTAAACACAAATTCAAAGTTGAAAATAGAGGGGTTTTTCAAAAATATAACTAATAATTACTACAATATAGTTTCATGATCACTTAGGTTTAAAAATTGAACATAAGTTACTATAAATAAGTTACTACACTCATTTGTCACATTTTTATAAACAATCTTTATTTTTAGTTATAAATATGAAATTACTTCAAAAATGAAAGCCTGCATTTAAAAATTAAGAAAGTGAAAAAATACAAACAACAAAGATACTGTTTTCGGGTGGCTTATGGCGAAAATCACGTAAAAAGTTGTATGGAATGCATGTTGCTTCACAACAACAAGTATACACACTTTAGTGAGTCATTTTGCTTTATTCCTTAAGAATAAAGCTAATCATTCTAATCATAATATCAAATCATTTTAAAATTAGTTAAAAATAAATACAAAATCATAAATTGCAAAGGAACCCAAAAATAAAATTTATGAAAAAATAGAAAAAATATGTTTTTCTAAAAATAAATATATGAAATGAAATGTAATATTTTTTATTTTTTAAAAAGCAATACGTTTTAAAAAAGCTTTCTGCGGTCTTCTCCCTAGCATTCGTCTAGGGTTTTTTCCGGCAGACGGCTTGCGACATTTCTTTTCCGACAAATAGTTTAGAGCAATGGTGGGATGGTAGCTGTTACCACGTTCTGCATCTCCATTGTGTGCTTCTATATGCATTATGCTTCTGAATGAGGTGGTATGGATCGAGCATGGAGGTATGTGATTATATTGATGCCTATGAATGGAACAAGTTTTGTAACGCGCCTTGCGCGATTGAGATAGTGCCCAATGTATGTTGTATAGCATAAATATGTTATTTATTGCAATTTATATGAATACAAAAAACCTCTCTGAAAAGCTTGTCTTATGTGATGCTTTTAATTGAGCTTCATGAGTTGTTTGTATATATAGTTACTAACAGCACCACATGTTTTTAGTTTTGCACTACCTTTGTTGACCAATGCTTCTAAGGAACTCATTGATATTTCAATGGTCACAATTTTAAGATAAACGTTGAGGTTCTCATGTTATTGTCTTAGTCAGAATACTCTCTTTTAAATAACCACCTGAATAGCCTGGAAGATACATTTCAAATATTAGAGAATAAGGAAAATAAAATCGATGTAGTATATGGCCCGGGAACCCCCGGCCCACAGACTCCTACTACTCCAGCGAAAGCCCAAAAGGCCCAAAAGGCCCAACATGCCCAAATCACAGCGCCCAGAGTACCAAGCAGTCCGCACTACGCGCCAGGGGTGCCTTCGGCCCCCTGGCCGAAGGCTCCAAATTCTCACAGAACGGGTTTCTCAAGCAAATTAAGAAACTGGGAGAGAACGGCGAAAACAGTAGCCCTCGGCACCTGGAGCCCTCGGCACCAGGGTGCCATCGGGTGGAAGAGCCCTCGGCTACTGCTCTATAGCCGAAGGCATCTCACTCGACAAGATATCCGCCTCACATGCACACAGATCACCGTACCCCGCATAGACGTCCCATCCAACAGCCGCATTAAATGCGGCCACATGCGGCTGCCAGCGGCAACCAGTTGAGGTGACCCCTCGGCCAATGAGCGCTTGACACGTGTCCCTGCCCGGCATTTATTGCTACTATAAATAGCACCCCATTTCCTCATTTGTAACCACGCTGAAAACGGCATTCATACTGAATACTCTCTCTCTACTTTTACTTACTTGCTCTGACTTCTCTCTAAGTTATTCTCCGTAATAACCCTTCGGATATATACCCCCGGGTAGACTATCCATCATTTGGTGCTCTCGTTGAGAGGTTGAACAATCGAGTAAGAAACCCTCCCCCTCGACCAAACACAAAACACTAGCCCTCTATCAAAATGGTGAGGACAACACGTGCCAACTCAAAGAACGTAGAAGACAAGAACCTGGCCCTCGGCGACGTCAACGCCCCCGAAGCCTCTCACAGGGCTCCCGAGGGCGGTGTCATCGCTGGGCTGGAACAGGCGGCTGTCGACCTACGCCTTCAGATCCAACAAAATGCCCCCGATGCCCGCCTCGGCATCGAGGCCAAGAAGAAAAACCGGAGCGATGACCAAGTCAGCCCTCCGGTTCTCACCATCGACGTACAATCGGCGCTCTCCGCCTTCATCCAGACGCTCACCCAGAACCCGGGTGCCTTCGGCACCCTAGCTCCAGCTCACCCTCAGATCGGGGAAAATATCATACTTCCCCCTCTGCCACACCCCTTCGGAAATCCCACCCCTCGGGTGAGAAACGACGAAGGGGTGGTGGCCCAAGAAACGTCCTCCCAGGAAGTTCAGTCCCGGGACCGCCATAATGACAACAGGGAAAGGCCCCGTACTTCCGCCCTCAACCGGCTCGGAGGAGGGCCAGACCGCCGAGGGGTCCAAGTCCGCCTCGGGGGGAAAGCACTCCAAAGGCCCCAGGAAAGCGGGGGATCTGTTTCGAGGGCAGACGAGGAGCGTCCCCCTCGGGACAAAGGCAAGGCACCCCTTCATGCCGATGATGCTCGGCACCAAATCAACCAGGCCCACTCGGCCCGGGTTCGTTCGCAGGGGGCGGAGACCCTCCCGAAGGATCCCCGGGACGAGGTTATTGCGGCCCTCCAACGCCGGCTTGACGAGATGGAGTCCAACAAAGCTCACGCCACCACCTCCACCCCTCATTCAGATCTCAAATACGAGGCCATGATGGCCAAAATGGAGGAGTTACAGAAGAGGGTGGCCGAGGGCTCCGGGGAACCCGTCATCCAGCTCCGGACTCGGACGCCATTTACCCCAAGGGTATTGGCGGCCCGGATCCCGGAAAAATACCGAGGGCAACACATACAGCCCTACAACGGGAAAACGGACCCCCAGGAACACTACAGCAAATACCAGAACAGCATGATGATGGTGGGGGCGTCAGACGAATATTTGTGTCGATGGTTCCTCTCCACCTTAGAGGGACCGGCATACGAATGGTTCAACAGGCTGCCCGAGGGCTGCATTGATTCGTGGCAAGAACTCGCCTAACGATTCTTGACACAATTCGCCGGGAGGCGTCGCACAAGGAAGCACTTCTCCCACCTCCTAACAATACGCCAGAAGAAGGATGAGACCCTTCGGGATTTCCTGGAGCGCTGGAGGACGGAGGCCGACAAGGTCGACGGTGCTGATGACGGGACCCTCCTAGCCCTCCTACAAACCGTCCTCCGCACCGGTAACTTTTCAAGGAGCCTCATCATTGAACCCCCCCGCGACTACATAAGGGCTTTGCAGCGG